GTATAGAGGATAGATTAACACTCCCTTTAATCTATTATCTGTATAGAGGATAGATGAACACTCCCTTTAATCTATTATCTGTATAGAGGATAGATGAACACTTCCTTTAATCTATTATCTGTATAGAGGATAGATGAACACTCCCTTTAATCTATTTCCTGTATAGAGGATAGATGAACACTCTCTTTAATCTATAATCTGTATAGAGGATAGATGAACACTCTCTTTAATCTATTATCTGTATAAAGGATAGATGAACACTCCCTTTAATCTATTACCTGTATAGAGGATAGATGAACATTCCCTTTACTCTATTATCTGTATGTAAAGAGGAAAGATGAACACTCCCTCTAATCAATTATCTGTAAAGAGGATAGATGAACACTCCCTCTAATCTATTATCTGTAAAGAGGATAGATGAACACTCCTTTTAATCTATTACCTATGTAGAGGATAGATGAACACTCCCTTTAATCTATTATCTGTATAGAGGAAAGATGAACACTTCTTTTAATCTATTACCTGTAAAGAGGAAAGATAAACACTCCCTTTAATCTATTACCTGTATAGAGGATAGATGAACACTCCCTTTAATCTATTATCTGTACAGAGGATAGATTAACACTCCCACTAATCTGTTATCTGTATAGAGGATATATGAACACTCCCTTTAATCTATTATCTGTATAGAGGTTATATGAACACTCCCTTTAATCTATTATCTGTATAGAGGATAGATTAACACTCCCTTTAATCTATTATCTGTATAGAGGATAGATGAACACTCCCTTTAATCTATTATCTGTATAGAGGATAGATAAACACTCCCTTTAATCTATTATCTGTATAGAGGATAGATGAACACTCCCTTTAATCTATTTCCTGTATAGAGGATAGATGAACACTCTCTTTAATCTATTATCTGTATAGAGGATAGATTAACACTCCCTTTAATCTATTATCTGTATAAAGGATAGATGAACACTACCTTTAATCTATTACCTGTATAGAGGATAGATGAACACTCCCTTTAATCTATTATCTGTATAGAGGAAAGATGAACACTCCCTCTAATCTATTATCTGTAAAGAGGATAGATGAACACTCCCTCTAATCTATTATCTGTAAAGAGGATAGATGAACACTCCATTTAATCTATTACCTATGTAGAGGATAGATGAACACTCCCTTTAATCTTTTATCTGTATAGAGGATAGTTGAACACTCCCTTTAATCTATTATCTGTATAGAGGAAAGATGAACACTCCTTTTAATCTATTACCTGTAAAGAGGATAGATGAACACTCCCTTTAATCTATTACCTGTATAGAGGATAGATGAACACTCCCTCTAATCTGTTATCTGTAAAGAGGATAGATGAACACTCCCTCCTTTAATCTATTATCTGTATAGAGGAAAGATGAACACTCCTTTTAATCTATTACCTGTAAAGAGGATAGATGAACACTCCCTTTAATCTATTACCTGTATAGAGGATAGATGAACACTCCCTTTAATCTATTATCTGTATAGAGGATAGATGAACACTCCCACTAATCTATTATCTGTAAAGAGGATATATGAACACTCCTTTTAATCTATTACCTGCATAGAGGATAGATGAACACTCCCTTTAATATATTATCTGTATAGAGGATAGATGAATCCCTCCCTCTAATCTATTACCTGTATAGAGGATAGACCCCTGGAGTATGGTATAGCTAGCTATTATCTATATAGAGGATATACCCATGGAGTGTGTTGTAGCTAGCTATTATCTATATAGAGGATACACCCATGGAGTGTGGTGTAGCTAACTATTTTCTATATAGAGGATAAACCCCTGGAGTGTGGTATAGATAACTATTATCTATATAGAGGATAGACCCCTGGAGTATGGTGTTAGCTAACTATTATCTATATAGAGGATAGACCCCTGGAGTGTGGTGTAGCTAACTATTATCTATATAGAGGATAGACCCCTGGAGTGTGGTGTAGCTAACTATTATCTATATAGAGGATAGACCCCTGGAGTGTGTAGCAGCTAACTATTATCTATATAGACCATAGACCCCTGGAGTGTGGTGTAGCTAACTATTATCTTTATAGAGGATAGACCCCTGGAGTGTGGTGTAGCTAACTATTATCTATACAGAGGATAGACCTCTGGAGTGTGGTATAGCTAACTATTATCTATACAGAGGATAGACCCCTGGAGTGTGGTGTAGCTAACTATTATGAGTGCCCCTGCTTGTTCGAAAATTCATATTCAGGAGAGAGAAGAAGGGTCAGAGGACTAGTTCATTCTTACAGGTTTATCTATTTATTCATTTATTCTTTAATTCATTCATTTAATTATGAATCTATTTATCCTTTCATTTAGTTAATTATTTATTTATTCATCCTTTTATTCGTTCAGTTATTTATTGTATCCTTTCATTCATTTTTTATTTATTTATCTATTCATCCTTTCATTCATCCTTTATTTATTTATCTATTTATCCTTTCATTCATTCCTTTATTATTTATTTATCCTTTTATTTATTCTTTTATTTAAATATTTAACCTTTCCTTCCTTTATCTATTTATTTCATTTATTTACATTTTCTTTCATTCATTCATTTGTTTATTACCTTATCCTTTCATTTCTTCATTTATTTATTTANTGTATCCTTTCATTCCTTCATTTATTTTATTTAGTTGTCCTTTAAGCCGTTCATTTTTTATTTTTTTATTCCTTCATTCATTCGGTTTTTTTTATTTATTTATCCTTACATTTATTAATTTTTTATCTATCCTTTCATTCATATAGTTATTTATTTGTATACCTCTTCATTTCTTCATTCATTTATTTATTTATTAATCCGTTCAGTCATATATTTCTTTATTCATTTATCCTTTCATTCATTCCTTTATTTATTTATTTATAATTTCATACATTCATACATTTATTTATTTATCTTTTCATTCATTTATTTATTTATTTATTTAACCTTTTCGTCAATCATTCATTTATTTATGCTTTCATTCATTTATTTATTTCTTTATTTATTTATTTTTCCTTTAATTCATTTATTTATTTATTCTATCTTCATTCATTTATTTATTAATTAATCTTTTCATTCATTCACTTATTTATTTATTTTTTCTTTTGTTTATTCATTTATTCATTTATTAATTTATCCATTCATTTATTTTCTTTTTATATATTTATCCTTTCATTCCTTTATCTATTTATTTCAAAATGTTGGAAGCGTTCTCTTTAGTTGAATATAAAAATTTAATATTGAATTAATTGTATAATTGTTTAACTATTTAGAGATCAGGTGAAGAGTATCTCCAGAATGCCCAAGTTTAACAATGACCTGTTTACCGTGGAGTACGTTCCAGCTGTACAGGTATACAAAATCACGGTACAACTGTACAAATACACTAGAGCACGTTAAGTCTGTATACAGGTATACTGAGCATGTTACATCCTTACAGATATGCCAGAGTTTCTTACAGCTTAAGAGTTATAAGAGAGCACATTACAGTATACTAGAGCACGTTACAGATGTACAGGAATACTGAGCAAGGTACACTCTTACAGATAAACTAGAGTTTGCTACAGCTGTAAATGTATATAGAGCAAATTATAGCAGTACAGGTATACTAAGCACGTTACATCCTTACTGATATACTTATAGAGTTTGTTAAAGCTTTACATGTATAATAGAGCATGTTACAGCTGTATATGTATACTAGAGCATGTTACAGCTGTATATGTATAATAGAGCATGTTACAGCTGTATATGTATACTAGAGCATGTTACAGCTGTATATGTATGTTAGAGCACATTACAGCAGTACAGGTATACTAAGCACGTTACATCCTTACTGATAAAGCTTTACAGGGATAATAGAGCATGTTACAGCTTTACAGTTAGTGCAGATTACCTCTTTAAAGGTATAATCAGTATGATCCAGCTAAACAGGTATCACGTTTCCGTATCATGTTGATCACCTTCCAAATGTACAGGTAAAATAGAGCACGTTCCATCTTACTGGAGTACAGAGCATGTTATAAAAGCCTTTCTAATATACTAAAGTATAGGTATACTCGTGTATGGAACAATTAGAGCACTTTAAAACTGTACTGAACTGAACAGTGTACACACATTTTTTTTACATCGAAAATGTAAACATTTATTGAAATTCAAATATACTTTTGAAAAAATAGTAAGCTTGTGTTATTTGTTTAGGGTCGATTACCACCTAGAATGGAAAGTGGACGCTTAACTTTAGATCTTGGTTTGCTTGCTCCAGACTGCTTTCATTTCATGTCTAATCTTCATGGAATAGTTGCTAGGTATTCTTTTCATGTCTAATCTTCATGGAATAGTTGCTAGTTACTGATTTCATGCCTAGACTTCATGGAATAGTTGCTAGGTATTCATTCATGTCTAGACTTCATGGAATAGTTTCTAGGTATTCATTTCATGTCTAATCTGCAGGAATAGTTGCTAGGTATTCATTTCATGTCTAGACTTCATTGAATAGTTGCTAGGTATTTATACATGTCTAATCTTCATGGAATAGTTGCTACATATTCAAATCATGTCTAATCTTCATAGAATAGTTGCTAGGTATACATTTCATGTCGAATCTTCATGGAATAGTTGCTAGGTATTCATTTCATGTCTAATCTTCATGGAATAGTTGCTAGGTATTTATTTCATGTCTAGACTTCATGGAATAGTTGCTATGTATTCATTTCATGTCTAATCTTCATGGAATAGTTGCTAGGTATTCATTTCATGTCTAATCTTCATGGAATAGTTGCTAGGTATTCATTTCATGTCTAATCTTCATGGAATTGTGGCTAGGTATTCATTTCATGTCTAATTTTCATGGAATAATTGCTAGGTATTCACGTCATGTCTAATCTTCATGGAATAGTTGCTAGGTATTCATTTCATGTCTAATCTTCGTGGAATAGTTGCTAGGTAGTCATACCCCTTGATGATATACCCCTTGATATACCCCTTTTTGATATGTCCTTGATTATTTGCCCCTTGATGATATACACCTTGATGATAGACCCATTAAACTACCCCTTGATGAAATTCCCCTTGATAAACCCCTTGATATACCCCTTGATGCCATGCCCTTTGATATACCCCTTGATAACACATTTGATGTACCCCTTGATGATATACCATTCATCTTGATATATACCTTGATATATACCTTGATATATACCCCTTGATGATATACCCCTTGATGATATACCCCTTGATGATATGCCATTGATGACATTTCCCTTGATATACCCCTTGATGATATGCCCTTGATGACATGCCTCTTGATATACCCCTTGATAAACTCTTGGATATAAGCCTTAATAACGCATTTATGCTCTAGAAACCTGTGGAATAACCTAATGGAACCCTCTTGGAACAAATCTGTGAATTATCACATAAAATCTAAATTAGTTTGTCCGAGCCCATCCAGACCTTTCATTGCAACCAAACTCAACAGTTGAATTATTGAACCTGCAAAATTGTTATCTATGATAATTTAGTATTTGTAAATGTCAAAATAATTTGTAAAAGTAATTTTAATTTAAGGAGCAAAAAAATATTTTCTTTAAAATAATGATCCTAGGCTCCAAGCTAGTCATCTTTTTTAAATTAACTAATTCATTTCTCACAATTTTTCTTGTCGTTTTAAGAATAATGTTGCAACCTGCTCAATTAAGTGTCTTAACCTTTGTAAAGTTGAATGAACGTCGTCTTTATAAAGTCTTGAAGATGGGAAATTTGCATTAAAAGATTTTCTAATTTGCAACTGTTAAACATCAAAATAAATTGATAATATCCGTCTCAAATAAAAAAATCTTAAGCTAGCTTTTTTCCAATAAAAACTTTAATATTCATTTCGCCAAACGCTATTTCTGATTTTTTTCTGGTCAAACAAGACGGGTTAAATCCAGTGTTCAAATGTAAATTATTAATTATGTATATTTTATTGCTAGATGTTAAATAACAGAGAAATACATTTATTTTTGCAGCGATTTCTTGAGAGACTGTAGACATATTTTTAAACAACTCTCCATTTATGGAGTGACAAGTCTGGTGCATAAAATAACAAGGAATAGATGAAGAGTAAGGTATGATAAACCAGAAAACTACAAGAACTTGAAATAATAAAAAATATAAAACAGAACATGGTCACAAACTAAAGGCATAACAGAACTATGTGAGCTATGATGATGAGTAGAAAACTATATCAGCAAGAGTTACACCCGAACTCTGTTCCTAAAATAAAATTGAGAATTAAAAATATGATTTATTGGTTTTAAATAATTGATGTTTCATTATCCAGTGGCCGAATTTAAAGAATTTGCGCGGCGGTTTAAATTTAAGCCGCGGCTTAAATATGGTTGGTTCCACTTAAAATTGTATCAAATGTTTCAAGATTTAAGCCGGCGCTAAATTTAAACCGGGTTTTGGCGGATTTTGGCGGATTCAAACCGCGGCTCAAATTCTTTAAATTCCATCTCTGAAGTACTATATTCACAGTATACACTATACAGATATAAATAGAAGGTAATTAATTACAAGAAAAGTGTAAAACCGCTCTACGTCTCAACTCTGAGACTACAGTACTAAAACTGACCTAGTGATATGTAAACATTATAGAAGTCCCAGAACGAAGTGAAATGGTATCCCATATTACTCAGCACCACCGTATACTCAAACAACGAAAACACTAAAAATTTAAAACATAATGATTGATACCCATTTTATCAATTATTTATTATTTTAAAAAGACTAGACCATTTTTTTTAAAGGGAGTGACCGGCAATGTATGGTAGATAAAATGAAAATGTAGCATTGTAAAGACATTTTTTAGGATTCATTTAAGACCTTTAAAATCATCCATTTGGGTGGTTGCGATTTGAGAATTGATTTTTTTAATTATTAAAACCAACGACAACAAATGTAATAATTAATCCTACAGTAAACTAATTAGATGTTTAGGAACATGTTTCTAAATTGAAATTTTCTCAATAAATCTCTGTTAAAATTAATTATTTGTTTTTCATCATTGAATTGAATTTATTATTCTTTATTAATTTGTTCGAAGATTTCTTCAAATGTCATCTTTTCAATATAAATTCCAGGAAATCTAAAGAAAATGTTTGTGAACAATGAGACCTTACAGAAACCAATTACTGAATAAGATTACTAATTTTCGATGACAAAAGTTAATTTTCATTTTCTCAACCTGTTCCTCAACAACCTGTTTAGTTTACTGTAGAATATTTACTACATTTTTGTTGTTGTTATTGAATAATTTGTTTGAAACACGATTCTCAAATCATCCCTGAAGAATGAACAATCTATGAGGATTTTAAAGATTGAATTTGCACGTACAAATATGCACCGTAAAACGTCTCATAGCTGTGAAAGATTTTTTTAAAAATTCTCCACAAAACCATATTCTCAGTTCAACTTCAATACATTACCGGTCACTCCCTTTAAATAAGTATTTTCTGAATTTGCCGACTTCGGCGACTAGAGTATCAATGAGGGAGACTGCTGAGTTTGGAGTTTTAATCAGACCAAGCCTAGCTGTGTGACTAGAATAACTAGGAGGCTGACTGCTACGCCTAGAGGTTAATCAGGCCAACCCCCTAGCAGCGACCAGAATATCTATTTGGCCGACTGGGGTGACTTGTCCAACAAAATTTGGTGTCTCTTTGCCCATGCTCAAGTTTACCTGAATATATTCCTGGTTCACAATATGTGTTATGCCTCCAATAGAAATACATAGCAAATCCTTTAATCAATCAATCAATTAACTAATCAATGAATTTGTCAATTAATCAATGCTATAACTGGAACAAATATACACACAATAATATGTCAATTTAATAAACTTTTTAATATTTCAATTCTTTTAAAAATTTGGGGAATCAAAATATGTCATTAAAAACTAAAAAAGAATACGTTTGGCTACATGCATTTACACTCAGTTACAATTAAAAAAAGTTAAATTTAGAAAATCTTCTAGTCTTAAAAATAAAAGGCAATACAAATTTTTTTGTATTTAATCATACAAAGTTTTAACCTGCAGTATAAAGACTGAAACCATATGATAAAATTTGCTAAACTATTTTTAAAATGTTAATATATAAGGATCTTAAAGTTTTATCAAGCCCTATTAGGTTATTTTCACAACTTATCAGAAAATGTTTGAAAGGACACAAAGTTATTTTCTAAAAGTTATTGATTGATTTCCTATAGCTAAGAAGTTTGCTGTTAAAATCCTCTTCTTGTAAATCATGGATTTCCGCTCCCAGCTGTTTAAACTGGTTACGCGGCAAGTCCTAATCTCAATCAGAATTTAAGATGGCGTCTCAAAGTACATGATTTTAAATATTGTTCAAAACAGAGTCATATACAGACAAGGAGGGGGTGGGCTATTGAGGGATAAGTCCCCCTCCCCATGGGAGAAGTGAAAACTATTATTTTCAAAGGGGATTGAGTCCCCAACTGGAGTGTCATAAACTAAAAAGAAGTGATAAGAACCCGTGGTAAAAAAGTTAGTGCTTTGTGATTGCAGGAGGGGGGGTCTTAATCTTTTAAAACTGTCTAAGGGGCTTGCAGCCTCAGCCCCTGTTGCTGAATGGTGACTAGTTATAACTTATTTTGCTGCAGTATTAAAAGAAGTTTCAATTGCAAGGTTATAATGATTTTGAACGTTTTATATTCCCGCAATGCAGGGGTTTAAACTTCATTTTAATCATGGAAAACAATTCGTTCCAACTTAAACCACTTAATATTCAAAGTTTATCTATTTACTTCACTTTAACTAAACATAGACCTATAAACCTGTGGAATTGAAAGAAGATTGCATTTGACAATTTGATGATGTTATAAAGCAAATAGTAGCATCTCAAACAACTTTTTTAGTGAAATGTTCAATGGATTAATCATAATCACAACTAACGTCTGTTCCACAATTTTATGGGTCTCTCTGTATGTTGAAATATATTTCAAACAAATATAACATTAATATTCAAGCTTTTAAATAAATCTGATTTAGGATTTACTGATTTGTTTCAAAATTCACAAAAATTTATTTTAAAAAAGAAAATTATTTTTGTTCTGTTCGCTTTCCTGAGAAGATAATAAGAAGATGAGATATAACCAACAGAGAAGAAGAGAAAGGAACTAAAACTCAGTTTATGAAGAGAGAAATCTTCTATACTTGGAACTAAAATATAAATATAGTTTATGAAGAGAGATATCTTCTATACTTGGAACTAAAAAATAAATATAATTGTTGACTTTAAAAGTCACTATAATAAAACAAAGATATCTGAAATGGATATTTCTAACATTTATTTAAAAAAACAAAAGTTTTGAAATATTTGCAAAAGACTGAGTAAAATTGGTTGGTTAAAAATGAACAAAGAAAACTATTGACGAACATCAGTTGGAACATATTTGTAGAACTTCATGATGGTGATACTGATCATCAGGAACTGGAACAACAGGTTTCCGCTCACCCCAGGCTTTGGATAAGGAGGGGGAGAGATCGCGGTCTTGTCAATTTTGAATATGAGGGAATGCGTCTCAATGTTCGCCTGACAATTTTGGAACTCTTGGAACAGGGGAGAGATCACAGTCTTATCAGTTTCGAATATGAGGGAATACGTCTCAATGTTCGCCTGAACTTTTGGAACTCTTGGAACAATATTGAGCTGGATGTAAGCATCGTCTGTTGATGGCTAGGTATCTGCATCATCACCATGAAGGAACCAGGATTGCTCCCAGAGACGGAGTTGTGATCATCTCTAGTGTTTCAAACTGACTGCTGGGCTGGGAGTGTAGAGGGGTGAGGAGGGAACGAAGGAGCGAGGGTAACATGTGGGCGCTTCATGGAGGAAATAGAAACACACGTCTTGAGAATAGACTATGGCATCTGAGTCGGTAAAATCGTCTTCCTTATATTTCGAATTTGTGTTAACAATAGTTTATGAAGAGAGATATCTTTTATACTTGGAACTAAAATATAAATATAGTTTATGAAGAGAGATATCTCCTATACTTGGAACTAGTATATAAATATAGTTTATAAAGAGAGATATCTTCTATACTTGGAACTAGTATATAAATAAAGTTTATGAGAAGAGAAATCTTCTATACTTGGAACTAGGATATAAATATAGTTTATGAAGAGAGATATCTTCTATACTTGGAACTAAAATATAAATATAGTTTATGTAGAGAGAAATCTTCTATACTTGGAACTAAAATATGAATATAGTTTATGAGGATAGATATCTTCTATACTTGGAACTAGAATATAAATATAGTTTATGTAGAGAGAAATCTTCTATACTTGGAACTAAAATATAAATATAGTTTATGAGGATAGATATCTTTTATACTTGGAACAGGGGAGAGATCACGGTCTTATCAGTTTCGAATATGAGGGAATGCGTCTCAATGTTCGCCTGAACTTTTGGAACTCTTGTAACAATATTGAGCTGGATGTAAGCATCGTCTGTTGATGGCTAGGTATCTGCATCATCACCATGAAGGAGCCAGGATTGCTCCCAGAGACGGAGTTGTGATCATCTCTAGTGTTTCAAACTGACTGCCGGGCTGGGATGTGTAGAGGGGTGAGGAGGGAACGAAGGAGCGAGGGCAACATGTGGGCGCTTCATGGAGGAAATAGATACATACACCTTGAGAATAGACTATGGCATCTGAGTCGGTAAAATCGTCTTCGAATTTGTGTTAACAATAGTTTATGAAGAGAGCTATCTTCTATACTTGGAATTAAAATATAAATATAGTTTATGAAGAGGGATATCTTCTATATTTGGAACTAGAATATAAATATAGTTTATGTAGAGAGATATCTCCTATACTTGGAACTAGTATATAAATATAGTTTCTGAAGAGAGATATCTTCTATACTTGGAACTAGTATATAAATATAGTTTATGAAGAGAGATATCTTCTATACTTGGAACTAGTATATAAATATAGTTCATGAAGAGAGATATCTTCTATACTTGGAACTAAAATATAAATATAGTTTATGAAGAGAGATATCTTCTATACTTGGAACTAGTATATAAATATAGTTTATGTAGAGAGAAATCTTCTATACTTGGAACTAAAATATAAATATAGTTTATGAGGATAGATATCTTCTATACTTGGAACTAGGATATAAATATAGTTTATGAAGAGAGATATCTTCTATACTTGGAACTAGTATATAAATATAGTTTATGAAGAGAGATATCTTCTATACTTGGAACTAGAATATAAATATAGTTTATGAGAAGAGAAATCTTCTATACTTGGAACTAGAAGATAAATATAGTTTATGAAGAGAGATATCTTCTATACTTGAAACTAAAATATAAATATAGTTTATGAAGAGAGATATCTTCTATATTTGGAACTAGTATATAAAAATAGTTTATGAAGAGAGATATCTTCTATACTTGGAACTAGAATATAAATACAGTTTATGTAGAGAGATATCTTCTATACTTAGAACTAGAATATAAATATAGTTTATGAAGAGAGATATCTTCTATACTTGGAACTAAAATATAAATATAGTTTATGTAGAGAGATATCTTCTATACTTGGAACTAGAATATAAATATAGTTTATGAAGAGAGATATCTTCTATACTTGGAACTAAAATATAAATATAGTTTATGTAGAGAGATATCTTCTATACTTGGAACTAAAATATAAATATAGTTTATGAAGAGAGATATCTTCTATACTTGGAACTAGTATATAAATATAGTTTATGAAGAGAGATAAACTTAAGATAAAAACTCTGATGACCTCAAAAAATATACTTAAAAATATAAATGCCCTAAATAAAAAATTAATCAAAATCTAAATTAGAAGTTTAAAAAAACTGTAATGACCAAAATTTAAAATAAAAAAAAACTTTAATGACCTACATGAAAAATAAAAACTCGAATAACCTAAATAAAGAATCTCCTAATTACCTAATGATAGTAGGAGAAGAGAGAACACCTCTGCAACATTAAAAGTGCATGACAAGAGAGCCATCTGTTGAACCGTTTTCTCTCTTTAAAAATATAAAAAAAACATTCTTTTTAAAGCTTTATCAAAACCACAAATAAATTGTAAAAAAAGAAATTTTAAATCTGCACTGGCGCCAAAATAACTTTGACAAAGCAATAATTTGTCTTAAAGCTGGAGTAGACATTTTAAAGAAATTTGATTAAGATATTTTTGCTGTGATGCCAATAACAAGAAATAAAAAATTCATTTTTCAAATTGAAAATGGTATCCACGATTAAATTTATCACTATTTAAAGGAAAGTAGTATTCACCCTCTAGCTTACTTTTAACTCTGCAAACAGTGAAAAGCTGAAATTATTGTCGTCTTCTTGTTTAATAATGTGGCAAATTGCAAAGATTTGTAACTTTGTAATCATTTTTAAATATGCGCCCTGAACCATGAAAACTTTAGAATAGTGGATATCGAGATTAATGCTTGATCTTCTCTTTTTGCTAATCTGAAGACTAATTTAATCTATAGATTAACTTCTAGAGATTAGAGATGCGTTCTTTAACTTTTGAATAACTGGTTTTTAATTTTCCCGCATTCGTGGTGTCATATTATTTGAACTAGTGATCGATTGAACGAACGTAAGTTTTGGATTAATGTTTATTAAAACTAACGTTCAAAATGGCTATAGTTCACAAATGTTATAAAATATGTTTTTAAATAAGTTCATATTAACATGATTAAATTTATATTTGCTTAAATGTCCTAAAAGCCGGCTTGTGAACAGATGAATTTAGTTCAATCTAATATTAGTCCAATCGATATAGCATCACATCTGTAATTGTTATCAAACGTAACAAACAAGATGATTAAGGATATCCCATCCTAAAGTTTTCAGCTCTGAAGTCAATACTTTTGTGTTGTGTTTTGTAAATCTTGGGATCAATCTTTGATCTCCATCTTATAAAGAAATACAGATTTATGTAATTCCTCTTCAATCTCCTGTGGTAGTCATAGCCTGCAGGGATACCTTTATTTGAGGGATAAAATATGTATCCACAAATTCAAAAGCACCAACATTGAATATCGAGATCGAGCGTTCGAGATTAACGATTATACAACATACAACATGTATTAGTAGCAACAATTCCTTTGTAACATTTATTAAAGATAGGTTTAGGTTAGTGCAAAAAAACCTTTTTAAATATTAATTTCAGAGTTTTATATATATATTTTTTCCAATCCACCTGATAATATTTTTAAACATATAGGTATGGTACATCTGACAGAGGAGCAATCTATATTAACAGACTAGGATGTTGAGAACTTAAAGAATTGTTAAAATGTTAAATTTTTCAGTTGAACCACAGACAGATTTGGACCAAAGGATTAAATTTCAGACTTTTAGTGGCGGTAAACGTAATTTCAATTATGCCCGATTCCCAATTGTACCCTTAAACACCTCTATTTTTCCATTAAATTCCATTGTAATATTGCATATTGTTTATAGTCTCTAAATGGCACAAAACCTCAATTGAAAAAAATCAATTTTCTGAGAGAAAAAGTAGGATATCTCAATTAGCTTTGAGAAGACAGATTTAAATGCTACTGTTTTGAAAGGGAGGGTCACTTTTTTCCATCCGTTATATTTTTTCCATAAAAAGTTAATTCATACAATAAAAGATTTAAAAATATTCTCAAACTAATCTGTTTCCTTGGAGCAGAATGTAAAGCAATACATAGTTTCCAAACATACTTCTGCGGTGTAAAATGTCCGATTGATGCTGAAACAAAATATTTAATCTAAAATATACAAAATTTAGAATAGGAAATATTTATTATACTTTTTTATTAGTTATTAGCTTAGGAACCCAGCGCTGCCAAGGTTACTAAAATTTAATCCCCCCGTGTACCCACACAATTGAATGATTTTAACGGGAAACTAACTCAATTGAATGATTTTAACGTGAAACTATATCTTCGATTTTAAAGCTATAGTCGACCCACTCAACTTAAAATCTTAAACCTAAGTCCTGTGAGTCTCCCGAGTTCCCCAATCAAAATTTGAAGCAAATCGGTCCAGGGGTTCCTGAGTTATGATCAGACAAACAAACAGACACCCAGACAAACATCAAGACACCCAGACAGAAAAACAGACATTACAACTTTATATATAGATACCAACCGATATATATACGGATAAAACTTTTTCAGATATGTCCGTTTATTAAAACTTAAGTTAAGGCTTAAAATAAAAGAAGATGAAAACTTTTGTTTTGATAGTGATTTAGCTGTAAAATAAACCTAGCAATCAATTTGTTCCAGTCGGTCAAAGGGTTCATGAGTTACGATCAGACATAAAATAAACAAACAGACCAGAGATTATTGCTTTTATATATAAAATAGATATTAACCTGAAATAGAGGGAGCAATGTTCCAGACATTACAGTGGGTTTTAGTTACCCAGTCGTAATGATTAAAAAAACTGCAAAGAAAAATAAATAATTAGATGCATTCATGATGATTTTTAATGTACGAATAAACACAGGAATTCATAGACGAATTCGAAATCGTCTTTGTTAATAATTAGCGTTAAATACTTTATTATTATTCAAATTAGCGCTTGATACTTATTTACGGTGAAAGACTGCTTTGTTATTATGCAAAACGTTGTATAATGTTCTGTGACATTTCTGGTAGATAAACACTGCAGAGGAATATCATTTCTATGTTTGAATACAGGATACGGGAGTACAAACAGTATGCAATATCATTTCTATGTTTGAATACAGGATACGGGAGTACAAACAGTATGCAATATCATTTCTAATACAGGATACGGGAGTACAAACAGTATGCAATATCATTTCTGTGTTTGAATACAGGATACGGGAGTACACACAGTATGCTATATCATTTCTGTGTTTGAATACAGGATACGGGAGTACAATCAGTATGCAATATCATTTCTGTGTTTTAATACAGGATACGGGAGTACAAACAGTATTAAATATCATTTCTGTGTTTTAATACAGGATACGGGAGTACAAACAGTATGCAATATCATTTCTATGTTTGAATACAGGATATGGGAGTACAAACAGTATGCAATATCATTTCTATGTTTGAATACAGGATCGGGAGTACAAACAGTATGCAATATCATTTCTATGTTTGAATACAGGATACGGGAGTACAAAAAGCATGCAATATCATTTCTATGTTTGAATACAGGAAACGGGAGTACAAACAGTATGCAATATCATTTCTTAGTTTGAATACAGGATACAGGAGTACAAACAGTATGCAATATCATTTCTGTGTTTGAATACAGGATACGGGAGTACATGTAGTATGCAATATCATTTCTGTGTTTGAAAACAGGATACGGAAGTACAAACAGTATGCAATATCATTTCTGTGTTTGAATACAGGATACGGGAGTACACACAGTATGCAATATCATTTCTGTGTTTGAATACAGGATACGGGATCCGAGTACAAACACTATGCAATATCATTTCTATGTTTGAATACAATATGGGAGTACAAACAGTATGCAATATCATTTCTATGTTTGAATACAGGATACGGGAGTACAAACAGTATGCAATATCATTTCTATGTTTGAATACAGGATACGGGAGTACAAACAGTATGCAATATCATTTCTGTGTTTGAATACAGGATACGGGAGTACAAACAGTATGCAATATCATTTCTATGTTTGAATACAGGATACGGGAGTACAAACAGTATGCAATAAAACAAATTCTTAACTCTAACAGACGAAATCTACGGTTTTCCTGGTATTGCATCACCATGACTAAATAAAAAAGAAGATATCACAATTGTCACTGAATTCCCATACAATCAATGAAAATAATATTGCAGAACAGTGAATAATGTTATGTAATCAAAGATTAATGTACCTGTATGATATGCAGAAAAGAAATGCAAAGAAGGGAAGACTAGAAAGTTCATTATTTCTTTTTTAAATTTATCAAAGAAAGAAAAAAAGCGTGCTTTTTTCTGCGTGTGAAAAAAATTATACAAAGTTTGCTGGCGATTCTTACACGGAAATCAGAATTTTTGTGTTGAAATTGTCTATCTTGAGCACTTGATCTTGATTTTAAATTCGGGCACTTTTCAATTGGAAGATCAATGCTTGATCCCCTAAATAAAGTTATCCCTGCAAGGTATGACCATCACGATTTATGGAAAAGGAATTAAATTAATCCGTAGATCATCCGTAGATCATGATCAAACCTTATCTAGAGAATCATAATACAAAGTTCTGACTTAATATTTGAAATTATGAATGTATTTTAAAAGTGACATATTAGTTAAATATATATTTTAATAAACTTTTTCCCTAACGGTTATAACAGCAATTTGTCGGAACTTAACTCTGAATAATGTTGGATAGAAATCTTGTGAACCTAAATATTGAACAGTTCCTTTTTTCAGTTCAGGGAGTCCCTTTATTCATGATTTATGGAGTCCCTTTATACATCATCATGGAGTCCATTTAAACATAGTGTTTGGATTCCCTAAAATATAAATATAGTTTATGAAGAGAGATATCTTCTGTACTTGAAACTAAAATATAAATATAGTTTATGTAGAGAGATATCTTCTATACTTGGAACTAGAATATAAATATAGTTTATGAAGAGAGATATCTTCTATACTTGGAACTAGTATATAAATATAGTTTATGAAGAGAGATATCTTCTATACTTGGAACTA